AAAATGGGATCTTGGGGGAGGGGGGGAGGGAGGTAAGGGGAGATGGGGAGAGAAAAGTGAGAAGGGGAGGTTGGGGGGAACTTGGGAAACGGGATGATTGGGATAAAGGAAGGTAGGATAGGGGAGCAGGGAAGCACACATCTTAATTAAGGGAGCCATCTTAGGGTTGGCAAGAGAATTGGTGCTCCCAGGTGCCCAGGGTGATGTCCCCAGTTAGTTCCTGGGGCAGCTGAGGACAGAGAACCTGAAATGACCCTATCCTATAGCCATACTGATTAACATCCTCAGATTCTTATAGTGATGGTATTTGGAGGTGGGGCCTGTGGGAGGTAGGCAATATTAGGTGAGATTTTGAGGCTGAGGCATTGTAATGGTAAAGTTACAGAAAGAAAGGGGCACATTTGGCACATTTACTGGCACTATGTGACAGTACAACCTGAAACCCTCACATAGGAAGATGCCTCTATAGCTGTGAGCCAAGTGAACCTCAGTTCCTAGCCTCCTAGACTGCAGAAAGGAAAATGGGCTGAGGACATCCTGCATGTGCATGTGATTATTCTGTGTTAGCAAACAAAAGGTAAACAAAATTATCACACTTGTCAGGCAAGGAAGATGGAAGAGTATGTGGATCTCTTTCAAGGTAAACAGACAAATATTTATCTTAAAATGAAAATAGAGCTCGACAAGGGAGGAGGACTTGATTGGGGGAGGGGAAGGAAATGGGAGGCGGTGGTGGGGAAGAGACAGAAATCTTTAATAAATAAATAAAAAAATTACTAAAAAAAAGTGACACGTTGCAAATACACCAAGTGATTCAAACAAACAAACAAACAAACAAAAAAGAATAAAGTGAATTGATAGAAAGAAAAAAAAGAAAATAGACCTCTAGATGTTCACTTTATCTTCTAATTGTTTTGTGTTTGGTATTTAAACAAAATATAGACTCAGGTGTGAAGAACAGTCAGGATAAAATTTAAGGGTTTGTGTGTGTGTGTGTGTGTGTGCATGAGTGCATACACACGTGCACGCAGGCTTATTGTTTGCAACAGGATCTCAGTCTGTATTCCAAGTTGGTCTTGAACTCATGCTAATTCTCCTGTCTCAGGCTCTCAGTTGCTGGGATTACAGGTATGAACTCCCATACTAGTTTGCAAAGACTGTTTCTAAGGTATCATGTGTCTCCTCCAAGCATCTTGAATATAATGTACAATGCCTGTCTAGGGAGATGGTTGGACACTCCACCCACCCTGCTGCTTACAAGATCACATGCCACAGCAACAGATTCTGCTTTTTGAAAAGTCTCTACCGAGTGGTCAGACCCAGGCCACCTGTAGAAGGAGCTCTTAGACAAACTGTAGGACCAAGTGGTGGTGTGGATGAGCATCAGGTTGATGTGTGAGCTGCTGATGCTCAGGATGGAGGGGCAGCTAACAGGTCCTGCTCTCACAGCCATACAAAACGGGGCCTGCTTAGTCAAACCCATAAAAGAAAATCAAGACTAGAGAGTCAGAGGGCCTTAGAAGTTGAAATTGTTCCTAAAGATATAACAGTCTTTCCCTGCAGATACCTGCAGCATATTAGTGACCAAGAGGCCAGGTTCTCTCCAGGAAGGAAATGTATATGCATTCATATCAAGGATCTGGATGTCCCCTGTGTTTGATCCGTGAAAGGTTTGGTTCCGTGGTGGAACTACTGGGAGGAATCTTTAACAGGTAGGACCTATGGAGGGAGTGGGTTTTGGGGGATATGTTCTTGAAGGAGGCTGTGGGACCTAGTCTCTTCCTCCTCTTTTTGCTTCCAGGCTTGGGAAGAACTGAGTGGTTTGTTCTGCCATAACACCCTCCAAAGCAACCTAGCCATCCAACCATGGACCTCCAAATCTGGAACCCCAAATAACCCTTTCCTTGTAAGCTGATTATCTCAGGTATTCGTTGTTGTGACCGAAAGCAACACAAAGGACCTTCTACTCCCCTACTGAGAGCCTCAAGCTCCTGCCTCCCACCCATCTGTTATCAGATGAGTGGCCTGGTTTTTGTCACTGTAAATCAGTTCAGATTTTCCATTTATGGGCAGTGTGGCACATCCTCTTGGGGGCAGTGCCATTACCATGTGAGCTTGTCAGTAGTTCACAGCTTCCTTTTAGGACATGCTCTGAGCCATTGTCTGTTGTCAGCCAGAGGCCTGTACCTGGTGCCATGTCCTTAAGTGGTAAAGCCTGTGGTCTAGAAAAGACTGACTGGATGGACAGGTCCTACTTCTGAGATTCTCGGAGACCTAGGCATGTTGCTTGGCTCCACTCCTACCTCTGCTTTATTTTTGATGTTCTGACTTCAAAGGTAAATCTGATTTCATGTTTGATCGATGGTGCTGGCATTCATACTTGTCAGCTATTTTATTACTTTTCCCCCTTTGTCGTCAATATCGGGTTAATCCTTGTGGATCTCCTTTCGATCAGAATCAGCATACAGCAGAAGTTGCACAGGGATCAATCTAATATGTATGATTGTCATAGAGACTGCCAGCTCTCTTTGGCATTGTGAAAGTTAATGCCAACTTGATGGGACCTAGAATTGCCTTAGAGACAAATGTCTATGAGAGATTTTCTAGGTTAGTTAATGAAAGAAGGAAGACTCATTCTATATGTGGAATGTTTCAAAAGGAGAGAGTGAGCTAAACGCTGCATTTACTGCATTCTGCTTTCTGACTATTTCTGACGCAATGTTCCTGGCTCTATCACACTGCTGCCATGTCATCCCCACCATCTTGGATGTGGTTTGAATTTCCTTCGGGCCATCAGCTCACAAATAACAACAACCTAATCTCTGTACTTCCGCCAGTCTGCCTGGCTACTCTGCCTTTCTTCTTCCCAGAGTTCTCTTTCTGCTCGGAAGTCCCATTTATACCTCCTGCCTAGCTACTGACTGTTCAGCCTTTTATTACACCAATCAGAGCAAACATCTTCACATAGTACACAAATATTTCACAATACTTGGATGGCCCCTTGAACTGTCAAACCAGATAAACCCTTCCTTACATTGCTTAGGTCAAGAGTTTCATCAAAGCAGTAAGAAAACTATTATGGTATGGCCACCTGTGTATCTTAAAAGCCCAACAGTGTCCAGCCTCTCTTTACTGAGACTCCAGCAGTCATCTGAAATTTCTAGGGCTATGAGATTTGAGGAACTACAATGTGTGGGAAAGCACTCTCCATGCACCCTGGGGTGGCACCTTCCATGCCATTACCTTCTGCATACAAGTAGGAAATGAAAGCTGCCAGCTCAGAAGGGCAGAGGTGCTTAGTCCTGGCTACAGAGCAGCAGCCAGCCTCAGGACACCAGTGCTACGTTTCTATTGCACAAGAAAATCTAGAAAATAAATCCCTTGTTTGTTTAAACTGCTTCATTTGGGGGGTGTTTTATGAGGTTTTTTTTTTTTTTTATATGAAACAGCCTTCATTTTCAAAGGTGGAGAAACGCAGAGATCATTTCCAACAGCTTCATTAAGCTTCCTTTTCCTCCTAGTTTATGTCACCATAATACTTTACAGCAAACTGCAGGCTTTGCCCAATTTGCCCAACAAATCCTCCAAACGTGTTTCGTGTTTCTAATCATTAAACTGGTTTAAATAAAATAAAACAATTACTACACTTACAATTTTTCCCAAGCACAGGGTTGCAAACTTGTAATCTCAGTACTCTGCAGACTGGGGTAGGAGGTCCACTAATAAGCCTGGGCTTATCTCAGAAAACTTTCTCCAGGCAATAAGATGTCTCAGCAGTTAAAGCTCTTGCCACAAAGCAGCGACAAACTACATTTGATCCCTGGAATGCACATAAAGATGGAAGTAGTGAAACACTTCCCGAAGCTGTCCTCTGACCTCCACACATGCACCACGGTACACATGCACCACATACGTGTCATACATGCAACACCAACAAACCCTTACAATTAATATTAAAATTCTAAAACGTGAATCCTTTCTATAGCAGACTTAACTATGTGATGATATTACTAAACTTGTTAGATGATGTACCTCATTGTCATCTAGTTCTGTTTGTTCAAGTTTTTCTGTCTGAAAATGCATGTTCACAGTAGTTTGCTTAAATCTGGTTTCAAACTAATTAATTCATATGTTCTTTAACACTTTCAATATATAGCAAGTTCTTTTCTCTCTCCCACATGAATCTGAATTGAAGAGATTGGGTGACTTGAGGCATTTTGTACATTCGCCATGCATTTTAATTCATGTTTGTCTATCTCATCTCCTGTGGAAGCACAGAGGCTAGTTAAGACTCGTACTTTATTTTCCTGAGGAACATTCCCTATTGTGTTGTGGATATTACAGGTGCTTTAACTTTTTCTGTGAGTGATCAACAGTCTTAATAATTATTATGTACATTGTTTTTAATAATGTTCTTATTAATTCTTTGAGAGTTTTATACAGTGTTTTCTGATCAGACCCTGACCTTCCAACTCCTCCCATATCCTTTCCCACCTCCCTACTCATTCAACTTTATGTTTGTTCTCTCTTTCCTCTCCTTCTTTCAAAAAGTCCAATTTGCATAGACTGACCATTCCCGGTTGTGCTCTGGAGTGTGGTTGATAGGCCAGGTATAGAAAACTAATTTCTCTTCTTTGAGTAGCAGTCAATTGCTGATAGCTCCGCAGCTGGGGGTGGACTTTGTGCCCATACTCTTCCTCTGGGCTGGGATTTGTCTGTCTTGATGAATCCATGCAGGTCTTGTGCATGTTGTCTAGTTGCTGTGAGTTCCTAGGTGTGTGTCTGCCTGTTGTTTCTAGAAAACAGTGCTTTCCTGAAGCATACACTACCTCTGACTCTTGCAACCTTTCTGGCCCCTCTTCTGCATAGACTCCTCATCTGTGGGGGAATGGGTGTGACATAAGCACCCCATTTAGGGCTAGGCACTCTAAAGTCTCATAGTTTGCATGTTAATTGCCGTCTCTGCAAACAGAAGCTTTGATGGTGGAGCAATGTGCTGGTTTAAAATACAGAACCTTGCAGGGATTGCATGCCATCCTTGCTCAGGACCCATGTTAATCTTCTCTATATTGTTCCAGTTTTAGTGTATGTCTACATTATTTTTATACTATGAGAAATGGCAATTTTCTAGATCCTTCATTCTTTTGTATTGATCATGTGGACTTTTATTGTAAAGAAAAAAATCCCTCAAAAATTCATGCAATGACCCAAATATCTGGTGGAGCAAGGTCAAGATAAATACTTTGATTTCTCCACTAATCAGCTTTTAAAAGGATGACTTGGTGCTAGCGTCCTTTAGTTATCAAGGATATCTTTTAGTATCATTATGAATAAATGTGTCTTTGTATTTTTTTTCTGTCTTTTTAAAGATAGGGTTTCTCTGTGTATCCCTGGGTAGCCTCAAACTCACTCCGTGGATGAGGCTTCCTCTGCCTCCCAAGTGCTGGAATTAAAGGTGTGCACCATCACTGCCCAGCATGTCTTTGTATTTCTGATGTATTTTATTATAGTGTGGCTATTATTCTTTTTGATACTCAAGTTTTTCCTTCTTTGACTTGTATGAGCTTCTTCAAGTTTTCTGTATTTTTGTTTTGAGACAGAGTCTCACTTTTGACCCCCCTGCCCCCGCCAGTGAGTGTTGAGGTTGCAAATGTGTACCACCATGCTTGGGTAAGCCACAGTTTCCTGCTGTGGCTCTTTATGCTACGCTCCCATAGTCTCCTGACAATGTTTCCATGACTGGATTCTGTGCAATGGCCATTGAGATGTTCTTCAGTAGGGAAAACTAAATCCATACCCTTGTTTAATATTTTGTTAGTGGTAAAAGTTGTAGATTTCCAGAGACGTCTTATCTCTTAAACTGGGACTGCTACTATCAATCTCATACTGGCAAAGATCACATGGGAGGTGTTGAAATGTATCCACAAGATCCCCACTAATAATGCACAGATTCGCCATGTGAGTGTGTGTTCCTGGGTGCTGGAATAGCACACGGGGAGGTTAATGCTGTAAAGCAGGGCAGCATAGATGACACTCAAACTGGGATTTCTATTTCATCCTTAGAGTCACTTGATTCTCTGATGTCCCACAGTGGAGATCTACAGTTAAACTGTCTCTGATGATATACATCCTTTGAATCATGTTTTAGGGCTTAGGCTTGCTTCCCTGGAGCCCAGGCTCTGCTCCATTGTCAAAGATGCAAATCTCTTCAAAGAACTCAGTGGTTTAATTAATTAAGGCTTTCAGGGTCCTTTATAATTCTCAGACCGAAAGGTGAGTTGTAAATGAGGCCTTCCCAAATTGCAAATGAAAACAGAAAGCTTCCCTAGAGAAACGTCAGTGAACTGAATGCAGCCCAAGAAGGTGGGGGCTGGTGCACCTGGGCACATTCAGGCTGTAGGCGGATAGTTCTCAACCTACAAAACATAGCCAGAGCCTGGAGGAGATCATAATCCCAGGCAGGCCAGATCCCTGACTCAGCATGCAGAGTGCTGACTGGGCAGTCAGCTGGTGACAGAACAGTGTTCAGGATGTGGTCATTCCCAGGTATTGGTTCTTCATTGATTCATCAGGCTCTCAGTGAGGACTTTATAGAAACCTTCATGCTATGTGTTGGGAGAGTGTGGCAAGTCAGATTGGTGGGCGTTTTTTTCAGGTTCTCTGTCCCTTAAGCCTTCTCTTTTGGAAGACGTTGAGCATATGAACTTCTTATGACACCAGGTGTTTCGACATCCACCCCTGGAGTGCCAGTCAGTTGGTATCCTGTCTGGGTTGGCTGCCCAGTGCTCTGATGAATGTTGAGGACTGTCTGAGGAACTGGCTCTCAGAAGGTTTGGGTGTTAATAGATAGGGTCTTTTTGTTTCCCAGGCTGGTCTTGAACTGGTGGGCTCAAGTGATCCTCCTGCCTCAGCAGGCAGGAGTCTGGACAGATTCTACCATTTCTTGGCTAAGGGACCTGGAAATATGGTTAAGACTCAGCTGAGCTTGGGTGTACAAAATTGGTTCTAGATGTTTCATATTATGAATCACAGATAGACTGTTATTTACTAGTAATGATACAGGGACTGCCAGGTTCTTTTTCTATAAGTGACTTTGAAAGAAGACCAGCAACTGCAGGTCTTATTATTAGAAGGCAACTGGTTCCTAGAGGCCAGGAAAAGATTCAAACAGGGACACAACCTGAACCTTGGACACCAAGGACTAGGTCTTGGTGTTATACCTACATGAACACCCCAGCCACACCCTGCCTAGCTCTGTCTGCTCACATTTGCATTCCATGGAGATGGTCTGTTTGAGTTGCTTTAGGGTGCAAGCCTTGCTCATGACCACATGATGGACAGGAGTTCAGGGGAGAAGTCCTAAAGGAAAATCATAGTTCACTTGGCCATACAATGGGGAAGGTCTGTAGATAATACCATCACGAACACTTTTGTCTCTAAGTTGTCATTACCACCCCATCACTTCTACCATCACCACTCTGTTATCTTCACTATCTAGCCGCTGTCATAACAGTCCCCTTGCCACCGCCACTCTGTTTCCACCGCTGCCATCATTATCACCACTGTCACTGTTGCCTTCAGCATTGCAACTGTCGCCATCAACACCACCACTATTACACACCTTCTTCACTACCCACCACTACGTTATACCCTAACCATCATCACTATGATATTCTCCACCAACACCACACCACCAAGGGAAACAATCCAGACTGCTAGGAATTTTGTTTCTTACTGTCTCCTAATTAGCAAAATACTGTTAGCACAGTATGTAACATACTAAGCCCAGTTCATCAGAGGTTCAGGGCCTGGAGTGATACTGGAAATGTGTGTACCTTCCTTCTACTCCTCTGGAGTCAGTGACATTTGTCCTTGAAGAGCGGTGTTACTCTCTTGGGGCAGGCAAACTCTGTGGAAAATCACCTCACAGAGTGGGTGGCATCTACAGGCAACATAGCTTCACTAAGCTTCAGCAGGGGTCAGAATACTCACACAGCCTGAATTCCGACTATACCCTCCAGGGGACAGCCATCTTTGCCACTCAGCTAGCAGTGTGGGCTGTTTAAATGGTGAAGAAAGCATTGAAGAGTGAGGATCAGACAGTTGGAGCTATTTCAATTAGTAACTCAAATTGCGTCATTGTTGAACAGAAGTACTGTGTCATTTAGTAAGAACTGAAAAATTTGTCTAAAGGATCAGTATTCAGCCTGTTGCATCATGTTTCCTCCAGGTATTTTTCTTCACAAACAGGGAGTGTCCAGAAGCTAACTGACTACTTGCTCTAAAAGCTTGCTGTCTTAGTTAAGGATTCTATTGCTGTGGAAAGACACCATGACCATGCCAACTCTTTTTCTTTTTTAAATTTATTTTTTAAAAACAATCTTTTCTCATTTTACATGTCAATTCCAGTTCCCTTTCCTTCCCCTCCTCCTGATTCCCCCACCTTCCACCCACCCCACCCTCATCCACTCCTCAGAGAGGGTAAGGCTTCCCATGGGGAGTCAACAAAGTCTGACATGTCACTTTGAGGCAAGACCAAGGCCATCCCCCCTATATCTAGGCTGAGCAAGGTATCCCTCCAAAGAGAATGTGCTCCAAAAAGCCAATTCAAGTACTAGGGGTAAATCCTGGTCCCACTGCCAGGGGCCCCACAGACTGCCCCAGCCATACAACTGTCACTCACGTTAAGAGGCTCTAGTTTGGGCCTATGCAAGTTCCCTCACTAACCCAGGAGTTAGTGAGCTCCCACTAACTCAGGTCAGCTGTTTCTGTAGGTATCCCCATCGTGGTCTTGACCCCTTTGCTATTATTACTGCTTCTCCCTCTCTTAGACTGAACTCTGGGAGCTCAGTCCAGTGCTAGCAGCGAATCTCTGCATCTGCTTCCATCAGTTGCTGGATGAAGTTTCTATGATGATAATTAAAGTAGTCATCAATATAATTGCAGGGGAAGGTCAGTTCAGGCCATGCCAACTCTTATAAAGGAAAATATTGAATTGAGGTGGTGGCTTACGGTTCAGAGGTTCAGTACATTACTATCATAGCAGGGAGCATGGCAGTATGCAGGTAGATATGGTACTGGTTACATCTTTATCAGAAGGCAACAGAAAATGGTTTGTGACACTGGACAGTATCTTGAACATGGAACACACCAAAGTCCACCCCCATAGTGACACATGTTCTCCAACAAGGCTGTGCTTACGCCAACAAAGCCACACCTCCTAATAGTGCCACTCCCTATGAGTTTATAGGGGCCAGTTACATCCAAACTACCTCTCTTGTGTTTGTCCTTTGTAGAGCTGTTTCAACAGTCATTGGTGCTTGAAGACACCAACCCCCGGCCTTCTATCTGGAGAAGGATATCATGGCACCTGGTGCTGTGTGACAGGTGTAAGTCGCATGCTGTGGGTGGAGCCCTTCTGCATCCAGGGCCTACACACATCTCATCACCCCTCTGTAGTTAAAACACAGGCCTTGCACCTTTAGACTTGATCCCATAGCCTGAATCAGGACCTACCTCCTGGAACAGGGAGTTGAGGATGCTGTTCTGTGAGTTGACAGAGCTATTTTTGGTACCTGGTTTCTCTCTGTTCTTTGTTATATATGCTATGGTGATATAAATCATGTGATGTGGAACCTCCTGCCACCCCTAAAAGGTTATAAAAGTTAGGTCCTTCCTTTGTTCTGTTGTGGGGTTTGGACTGAGAGTCTGCCCCCCCCCCACCCCATGACCCCAAGGGAAATTGATCATGAATTTGGTTAGGAATAGAAGGCTTCTGAGGGCTCCTCTAGAGGCCTCTCTCTCTTTCCCACTCTTAATGAAGGTTCTCTCCAGGACTTAAAGGGTAGCCTCACCTTTCCTGTAATGTCCCATTATGTTTGTTTCTGTGTAGTGCTCTCCCTCCCATCTTGAGGCCCAATTATGGTTTTGAGTCTCTTTCTTTATTAAAAAAAAACAACAAACAAATAAAAAACAACAACAAAGAAACCAAACCGTCATTCCTGAACAGAATTTGTTTATCAGCTTTCTTCTGTAGACTGACCACGATAGCCTTCTTTAGCTTCTTTATAACACAACACAACGTGTGCATGTGTGCATGTGTGCGTGC